GAAACTTTGTAGTTGAAACAAAACTAGCTGAAACAACAGTGTGGCTACACTCTGCTACAACAAAAGCTCTGCCATAAAACTGAGGAACAGAGAACTCTGAGACAGGACATGTGTGGGTGGCTGAAGGACCACTTCACTAAGCCTGAGGAACAAATCCCAACATCCAGCCGAGGCCAATTCTGTCCCCCCAGGAGTCACTTGGGGTGAACACTGAGGCCTTTGAAATGTGAATTGCACAGATGGAAGGAGGCTGACATGACTTTGAGCTCCATCTCTCAGGGAAACTTATCAAAGAAGAAGGAGTCAGAGAGAGCAGTAGGAAAACATAAAGAAAAAACCTGAAATTACCATAGATGTTAGGTTGAAGGGGGAAAAGACTTTGAGCATAACCAGATAGAGAAACAGGGAAGATATTAATAACAGCAGGGAGTATGGCCTTCAGATCGACTAACATAGTCTAGACATCTGTGAACAAAGATTGAAAGACAAAGGAAAATAAATCAACCCCTGATGAGACAGAGAACTATGTGGATTTCTAAGAGAGAATGGAAACAGAGGAAGATGTTCTTGAATGGTTTAAAATAGAAATAAGAATTGTAAAATCAGAATTTATGGCCTGCACAGCAGAAATAATTGACAGGATAGAAAAAGTTGAATCCATAGTTTCAAGTCTCACCAATGAAATATAAGGAAATAATGGATGGGGAACATAAGTACATATAAGTGAAAGGCAGTCTCAAAAAAGAGAAACAAAAAGCAAAAGCATTAAAAAACATTTCTTACAAGCAAAACATATTGATCTCAAAGACAAGATGCATAAAAACAACTTAAGGATCATAGGTTTTCCAAAAGAACATACCAAATCAGTTGAACTGATGCTGAGTGAAGTGAGCAGAACCAGGAGAACATTGTACACAATAATAGCAATGTTGTGTGATGACCAACTTTGATAGACTTCACTCTTCTCAGCAATACAATGATCAAAGACTATTCCAAAAGACTAATGATGGAAAATTCTATCCACATCCAGAGAAAGAACTATGGAGTCTGAATGCAGATTGAAGCATACTGTTTGCTGTTTTTTTTCTTTCTCGTGGTTTTTCCCTTTTGTTCTGATTATTCTTTCATGTGGAAATATGTTTAATATGATTGTACATGTATAACCTATATCAGATTGCTTGCTGTCTTGGGAAGGGAGAAAAAAAGGAGAGAAGGATAAAAAATTGGAACTCAACATCTTATAAAGGTGAATGTTGAAAACTATCTTTACATGTAATTGGAAAAAATAAAATACTATTAAGTGGAGGGAAAAAAAAGAATGTACCAAGTCAAAAAAAGCCTAAACACAAGTACAAAAGAAATCATACAAGAAAACTATGGAGAAGTTCTGAATACAGAGAACAAAGTACCAATCAAAAGAATTCATAGATCTCCTCCAGGGAAAAAAACCCTATAATGCAAACTTCAAGACATATAATGAGTAAATTTAACAATTCCACGTATGAACAACACATTCCACAAGTGACCAGGAGAAAAACCTTCAGATACGATGGTAGGGAAATTAAAATAATCCAGTGCTATTCTGTACCTACCAGCAGCTGTAGGAGGGAATAGAATAATGTGATCTAAAGAGCAAAAGAGCTTAAGATACTACTACCCAAGGTGACATGCCCTATAAACTTGATCTTAACCATAAATGAAATAAAGATGGATTGCAATAAAACAGAAGTGTTTTGAAACATTTCTTAGAAAACCAAGATCTGAACAAATGACTTGCTTCTCAAACATCCCAAACAACGGAAATACAAGAGAAGTAGACAAATGTAGCAACCAAGGACAATAACAGCAGAGAGACCATTAAGATATTTCTTTCTAAAAATATGTAAGGAGATAAAAGTGATAGCAGAAAGCAAGTAGAAGTGATGGTAGAGAAACAGGACTCACATATCATGGACTAAACCTCACAAAGACCCTACCTATAGGTTAATCATTGTTTTTTGTGACACTAAATTAAAGAATGGGAGAGTGCATAAAAGAAGGGAGGAGAAGAAAAAAAATTGATATACTTTAATCAAGTTATAGGTTAACAATGAAGGGAAAATAACTCCTTTATTCTCAGGAAGAAGAGAACCTTTAGGAGAATGGACAAAGAGGCAGAAGGAGGGACTAGAACAAGGAAAGAAAGGGAGAAATTTTGTTGTATTGGTCAGAGGGAGTACCATTGATTAATGCTCCCATGGAGGTAGAGAGATAGTGTATATGGAGACTTAACAATGGGTGTAATCTGCAGGGATTTGGTGAGACCACTCATCTTATCTGAGGAGAATGAGAATAAGAGCTCTAGGTGTTATGTGACGCCCAGAAGAGTGAGAAGGTAAGGAAATAGGGAGGAGATTCATGGCAAATGAGGGGAAAGTGACCGTGGGAAGAAAAAAATTATTAATGAACTGCACAACCAGAGACATAGGAAAATTCCCACCATCGAGCAGTATCTTCTCTGTCACCGGCAGTGACTAAGGGCAATATCTATAAAGCTGTCACGTGGAAAATAGTTAGAAGAGGAAACTCAAAATAGGTGTCATAGAAGCTTTTAATTCCAGGAGAAATATCAAGACTAATAAAGGAAAAAATAAGTACAAGGGCCATGAATCAAAGAATAAAAGTCTGGGATAGAAGGAGAAGATAAGTAATGAGCAAAAGAAATTCTTTTTAGAAAGACATGCAGAAAATAAAATTTTAAAAATTATCAACAAAAAATTATCAAAACATGTTGAAGGGGAAGAGGAGAAAGGGGATTTTACTTGACCACTTACCTGAAAGGGGAGAGAAATAAACAAGTAGATAAAAGGAAGAAAGAAAAAGAACTAATAAGTTAAGCAAAATTCCAAAGTTAGGAAAAGAGGTAACAAAAAGGTTGGGTGAAAGGAAAAGAGCCACTGGAAATAAGGTTGCCTTAAACTAGGTAAGGCTAAAATAACCAAAGAGACAAAGTACTCTGTTTACAGAAGAATAAAGCAATTCTAATTTGGGGGGTAAAAAGCAAACCAATATTAGAGGAAAATGGAGGAAAATGTAAGCCTAATTTTCATTACTTTAAATGTGAATGGATTGTAATAAAATAAAAAAATAAAACTCTGCAGTCTATTGCTTACAAGATGCATATGTCAAAAACAGACATTCACAGAATAAAAAATGAGAGCTGGGGGAAAATTCCAATGATAAAGTAAATGAGCAATTTATTACATTAAATGTAATTGGAGGGGAGCTGGTCCTGCAAAGTGTTTTCCTGAAACTCTGGTCTTCTCTTTTGTGTAGTTTAGAAATAGGGATTCTCAAAAACCTACTTTGTAAGCTTGGAATTGGTGAATTCACATTTGTGTGTGTAAAGTGTCAATGTATACATATCCCTACTGTGTGTGTTTCATTAGAGAGAAAGATCAATTTAGATTCCAAATAGTATTCATTATGTATTAAAAATTTCCATCACAAAAGCGAAAAAATATGCGGATTACTTGAAAAATTAAGAAAGCCTTTGGGGGAGAGCACTATATCCACTATTGGTTAACAGAAAAAATCCTTTTATTTGGTATTTTTCCAAGAAAATATTAAAGAAAATTCTAGGGGCAGCTAGGTGGCGCAGTGGATAGGGCGCTGGCCCTGAAGTCAGGAGGACCTGAGTTCAAATCCGGTCTCACACCAAATACTTGACACTTACTAGCTGTGTGACCCTGGGCAAGTCACTTAACCCCTGTTGCCTAAAAAACAAAACAAAACATAACAACAACAAAAAAAAAACCCCCAAGCAAACAAACCAAAAAAAAAAAAAAACCAGAGTGAAGTAAGGAAGCAAAACCAGGAAACTAAATATCACAATGTGACTGGAGAGAAAAAAAAATTCTACAGTTGTTCACAATTGCAGATGAGTGATTACAAGTTGTGTCATTGGGGAAGTATCATTGGAAGTTGTACAGAATTAGTAGAATTTGTACGCAAAATACATTTATAAGACGTATGTTTGGAAGACATTTGGAGCTGTTTAAATACCTTTGATGTGCTCCAATAAGATGCTTTATAGTTTTGATGAAACATTATGTTTAAGACTGCATTAAAAGAACCCCACAAACATTTCTAGGACTTTCTTTGCTGTGGGGGTGGTTTGGGAGAGATAGTTTAAGCTGTCAGGCATTTTGGTGATTTGAAAGGTCATAATTGGAATTTTTGTGATAAAATAACAAATAGAAAAAAAAGTCACTGGAACAGATTATTTAAGCAGAATCCTAGAAGAAAACGCACAAGAACTGTGCTCAAATCCTACATCCACCAAGAAGACTTTACAAGTACTGTAGACCACTGACATCTACAAAATTAGGGGGTTAATGAACTAGCTGGCCTCTGAGATCATTTCTAGCTCTAGATCTAAGATCCTGTGGTCTCTCCCTTCCCTGGACACTGATTATATTTATAGTCAAGGCTATGTAGTTCAGCACTGTGATTGTTTAATGTGCATTATAATGCTTGATAGTGTACTTCATAACGATAGGACTCCTGTCACGGTACCTAGCTATATAATACAAATCATAGAAACTGAATAAATACTTCTTGGTTAATTATGTATGTAAGTGTTCTTTTATTTAAAATCTTGAGTCCAAAACTTCTTCTATAGGAACATAACTCATTTTATATGAAAATCAAACAGTGGAATTTTGAGATATAAAATTTCATTTTAAAATCAAGTTTATAGAAACTTACAGATTCCATATCAAGAAATGTTTATACAGATATATTTCATTTTAAGAAAAGTTATTAAAAAGATTATCATTTTACAAAAGACCTAAATGATTACTATAAAAACAAATTCACTTTATTCTCTCAAAATATTATTTGATTTACACAGTTTTCTATTGCATAAAAGTAAGGTACATCTAGAACATATTAGTTAGTTTAAGCCAAATGAAAGAACTTTAATGTGTAAATTACATTTTTTCTTTCACTACCTGTAGGTAACTCAGATGAGTCGACCAGACCTAATTCTGTTTCTGATGAAATATTTAATGGCTCTCATAGTTGGTATTCCCTCCATTTTTTGGGTTGGAAGCAAAAAGACATGCTTTGAATGGGCCAGCTTTTTTCATGGACGCAGGAAAAAGGAGTAAGTCTTAAAAACTAGCATTTTTTAAAAAAAGAAAATAAAGTTTTCAGTAATTCTGCTTTGTTGCTTATATTGATGCATTTTAATTTTGAGGAAGCAGGCAAACAAGGTATAATTTTGCCAGGAACCACTAATTATGATTGACACGCAGTATGTTTTCATTAAAAAAAAAACAAATTGAATACTTACACTCTGCAGATAACAGAAATCCCAGCAGTCTGACAAAATTCTTTACCCTGCCTGCTGTTCAATATGTCATTCTAACTTACTTAGAAAGGTAGGGAGGCATAGTGGAGAGAGGGACAGCCTTGAAATCAAGAAGACCTGGGTTTGGGTACTGCCTGTGATGACTATGGACAAAAATCACTTTACTTCTTATTGCCCTTTGCAACTCTGTTAAAGATAAGTTTCCTGTCAGCATTGATAGAAGGAATCTCCACTATGGGAAGTCTTTCCTCAGATAAAATCAAAGGTCTGAACTCTTCACCAACGAAATCCTCATAAAAGAACTAAATGACAAGGGTGGAAAATCATGTTCTGAAACAGGGGGTTAAAAAATGAACTTAATTTAATATTTAAGCTTATGAAAACTTTACACTGCACTAAGACATTTAGGACAACCTATGTAATGAAACTTCACTTAGGATATTGAAGGAAAGGCCAGTTATACTGAAAACTCTGGGTTAATTTATATAGCTTTTTGTGCTTTTCAAATGAGAATAAAATCTTTTATAAATAAATTAAATTAAATTTGAGCTTGACTACTGTCTAAGTCATATACAGACATGTATTATTATTCTAATTTTGCAGGTAAAGGAATTAAGGTTAAAAAATATTAAATCCCTAGTACAAAGTAACAATGTCAAGAGGCAGGAGAGGCCTTAGATGTCATTTCTGGAGTTTAATACATTTGTCTTATATATGAAGCGACTTTGCTTTGAAGAGATTGATTTCTTTAAGATCACACAGCTAGTTATTGACAGAACTGGAACCAGAACTGTGGTTTCCTGATTCCCAAACCATTTGTCTTTCCAGTATACCCTTTGGATGAAACTAGATAGAATTGGATCTTGGTTATCTTATCCTAAAATGTCTCTCTCTTTTAAATTCATCCTTTAGAGCTAATAATTAACCTCACAGACCTCATAATGCACATAAACCTGGCTGGTTCATCTATTTGGCATGTATTCATAATGGCAGCAAGGTGGTGCAGTGGATGGAGTGTTGAGCCTGGTGTTAGGAAGATTTAAATTCAGATCCCTCTTTAGACACACAGCTGTGTGACTCTGGGCACATCACCTCTGTCTGTCTCAGTTTCCTTAACTATAAAATTGGGGATTGTAAGAGCACCTATCTCACAGGGTTGTCATAAGATGTAAAGTGCTTAGCCTAGTGCCTGGCCCATAGTAGGTACATAATAAATACTTGTTCCCTTTCCCCCCTCTAGGATGGTAAATGAGAGTCGCCAAGTCCTTCAGGAACCTGATTTTGCCCAGTCCCTTTTGAGAGATCCCAATACTCCTATTATTCGAAAATCAAGAGGAACCTCTACCCAGGGAACATCCACACATGCGTCTTCTACCCAGCTGGCTATGGTGGATGATCAGAGGAGCAAAGCGGGGAGTGTCCACAGCAAAGTGAGCAGCTACCACGGCAGTCTCCACAGGTCTCGTGATGGCAGGTAAGTGATTTAAATGGTTTCATATATTTCATTAATTTCAAGGCACAGAAAAGAAAAGACTACCTCCTAGCCAGATTCTCGACTGTCCAGATTTAAAGGAGGTATTGGCCATTACTTGGCCATGTTCAAGGCATTGACTCTGTATACTTGTCCACAGCTACGAATAATAAGTATATGCATTGACACAGAGAGATAAATGAAGACAGTAGTGGACATGTCCTTACAGAATGCATATATAATCAGATGTGCATCTGTAATGTACATATATGAATACAATGCAGTACAAATGTAGATCACTTAGAAATATCTTCCTTTGACTGTGCCACTGGAACATCAAATTATTCAAGTATTTATTGACTTTGTGCTTCATGTCTCGTGTGTCAGTCATTTTCAGTCATGTCTGACTCTTTGTGACCCCATTTGGGGTTTTCTTGGCAAAGATACTATAGTAGTTTGCCATTTCCTTCTCCATCTTGTTTTACAGATGAGGAACAAGTGACTTGTCCAGGGTCACACAGCTAGTGAGTATCTGGTGTCAGATTTGAACTCGGGATGATGAATCTTCCTGATTCCAGGCCCAGCACTCTATTCACTGTGCCACCTTACTGCCTCTCATATCTAGCACTTTGTTAAACACTGGGAGGTAGATAAGAAAAATTTTCAAGTTTATAATCTAATTGGAAAGACAAGGCTAATACTATAAGATCGTTACAAAACAATTCAAGTTAAACTGGTGCTGACTGTGTGTTCAAAGAAGGGAGAAATCATTGTGAGCTAGAATAGTTGGCAAAGGCCTTTGGATAAGCAGAGAGAAATGAGGAAGGCATTGCAGGTGGGGAGATCTGAACCAAGGAAAGCAAGACTGAGTGTGCTGTGTAAGGATAACAGTGAGGAAATGGACTTGTCTGGGGCAAAAGATGACTATTGGTTAATAGTGAAAAATATGTCTAGATTGGTAGGGTGGAGCCTAAAGTTGACTGGATTTAATGCAGTAAGCAGTGGAATCTTGAACAAGGAAAATCAGTCTGACAGGACTGATTAGAAGAGGCAGAGATTAAGACAGGGAAATCAGCCAGAAGGCTCATAACAGTCTGCACAGGAAGTGGTAAGGGCCTGAAATGCTGTAGTAGCAATGGCAACAGATGACAAGTAGCTGATCAGAACGTCATTTTAGAGGAAGCTAAGACTAGATTTGGTGACAGATTGGAGATAGCAGCTGAAACAAGGAAGAGTCAAAAATTATTTCAAGGTTTCTAAGTCATTGAGGTTGAAACGAAGTTGGTTTTACTGACTGTAACAAAGAACTTTCTGCTCTCCAATGAGAGGTCCTTCATCTTTAAAATATTGATATGTTTGTTCACTTCTCTCTACTATCTCCTTTCGCTAGTCTCAGAAGTGGCATCCTTCCTCCTCTTCATAGCAACCCACTCCAGCTGTTATCATTATCTCATGCTCTCCCTTTTCCTGAGGGACTTTGCTGCCCACGTACTAACCTCTTCTTTTCTAGCGTCTTTCACTCTCAGTAGGCATTTTCCTGCCTTTGAGACATACTCAATTTTCCCATATGGATTCAAAATAAATAACATTTCAATTGATCACTCGTAATTGCAATCATATTCCTTTCTTCCCTCTTACTGGCATATTTCTCAAAGAGTAATAGCTGGTTTTTTAAATAACTCTTTCAAGTACTTTACATAGATGACCTCATACAAAATTTAATGATCTCCTCTATAACCTCATTACCCATTTACTCCTTAATCTCTCCTATAATCTCTCTTAATCTGGTTTCTGTTCCTTCTGCTCTAATTAACTATACTAAAAAAATCACCAATAACTTCTTTCATAACAGATCTCAATCCTGATCCTCCTTGACCTTTCTACAACATTAATATTGTTGAATACCACCACCACTAGCACTACTACCACTTTTATTCATTAATTCATTCACAAGTAATTGTGCAGAACCTACTATACTACTGTGTTAGGTGCTAGTGAAGAGACAAAAAAGATATGGTCCCTGTCCTCCAAAAACTTCTGTTGTGGTTAGGAAGATAATATATTAATTCCCTAATTCACACATAGATCATCAAGTTTTTATTGTAATTAGATTGATTTTTCTGTGCATTTGTGCATTAATTCATGGTTATTTTCAGATGGAGTAGCTACATTGTAGATTTTGCATGGTTTGGGAGGATTTGTGTGATTTCAGCCATGCTTTGATTGATGTAAATTATTAATAAGAAAAAAGTAATAATTTTTAATAAAAATGCACATATATATTTCTAAACATATACACATGTATTTCTAGAAAATGTATATATATATATACTATATATGCATGTATACACTTGCATATACATGTATATACACACAGACATATAATTTTAGATAACCTGATTTGCACCTCAGAGCTAGCTGAAGTTTCACTTTTAGAAAATGCACACCACATATTTTAAAGTAGTGATTTACTTTCATTTTTTAAAGCTGAATTTCCCAATTGTATGAGGAAACCAAATGATTTTGGTTTCTTGGAAAGACTTTGGGAAGTGAAACATCTTCAGTTCAACAGGTAAATCATGAATATTTGGGGGACTATTTTTTCCATTTTCTACTATTAGTACAGTTGTCAAATTAACAAACAAATATTTAAAATTTGTTTTATTTAGCTACAACAGTAAGTTTATGTGTTCTAGAACTTTCCCCCAATAACAAATGCTATAATTTTCTTAAAACAGTCATATTTTAAAATGAACAATGTTTATCTTTAAATATGTTAATTATACATGTGAAATACAGTTTTTTAAAAAATTAAATTGTCTTCCATCTAGGTCAAAATAAAAAACTTAAAACATTGGGCTATTATTTAACTCAGCATTTCCCAAACTAATTTATCAACAAAACACTTTAGGAATTGAAATATTTTGAAATGACCCAGAAGTACTAATCTGGGAGGTGGAGTATGAAAACCTAATGTGATATCTAATAACGTAACTATTATTGCTTGGCACATAGTTATTCTGTAAGTGTTTGTTGAATAAATCTAAGCACTTCATGATGGCTATCAGTTCATTGTCATGACTCAGTAAGCATTTCTTTAATGGCACCTTTAGCAATGAAATTTATATACATATATGTGTATGTATATGTAGTATTAGTATTATAGATAATGATTGCTGGATATCTATAACATAACCAACATTTAAATCTTCAATAATTGAGGATTAACCTTTATGTCAAGTACTGAGAAGATTTATAAGAAATTGAGTAGAAGCAAAAAAAAAAAAGAAAGAAAGAAATTGAGTTGGAATAATGCCTGGCCTTCTTTGACTAACCTCTTTATAAAATGCTATATAATTTATGGTTATAATCCCTAGTCTATGTATTTCTTTTAAGGTTATAGTTATATTAAATTAAATATCTTTATAAAAGTTTTTAACTTTTCCTTTGTCTTTAAAAAATCTTAATATATTTTAAAACTTCAAAATCTGTTTTAAATCTAGTTGTTTTCATTTTTAAAATTGATTTTTATCAACCTTGTATATAGTTTTTAGAAGCTAAGTCAGCTGTTGTATTTCCCAACAGGTTTGGAGCTAGTTTTATTTGGTGTTGCTTTTTGTTTTGTTTTTTGTTTTGTTTTCCCCTCCCATGGCAGAGAAACATGGAAGCGTAGAAGTATCCTTAGCCCAGTTCTTTTTTGGGGGGGGCAGGGTGAGGCAGTTGGGGTTAAATGACTTGCCCAGAGTCACACAGCTAGTGAGTGTTATGTGTCTGAGGCTGGATTTGAACTCAGGTCCTCCTGAATCCAGAGTCGGTACTCTATCCACTGCGCCACCTAGCTGCCCCCTTAGCCTAGTTCTTCATCTGACTTGCAGAGTCTGGGACTATAACGGGGGAAAATGTAGCCACAGTAAGAGGAGGAGGAGGAAGAAGTATGTTGACTATCAGTGTGTAGCAATACAGTTGTCATTTACTTAGAAAGCTGAGGGGGGGCGCAGCTAGGTGGAGCAGTGGATTGAGCACCGGCCCTGGATTCAGGAGGACCTGAGTTCAAATCCAGATTCAGACACATAACACTTAACTAGCTGTGTGACACTGGGCAAGTCACTTAAACCCCATTGCCTAGTTAAAAAAAGAGAAGAAAAGAAAGTTGGGACTTGGGCAGGGTAAAGGATTATGGGTTTTTGCATGTGGAGTTTTCTTTCAAGTGACACGTAAGTAAGTCCAGCTATTGACTGGGGCACCTGGAGAAAAGATGCTGTTTGCACAAAAGCTTCCTCATTCTCTCACAAAAAAAATTTTCCCCACAGTGGGCCTTCTTTTCCAGCACTACATGTTCACATATGGTCATGAAAGACTATCCTTGTCAGTCAGTCAACTAGCATTTATTAAGTACCTATTATGTACCAGGCACTGTGAAAGAAAGGCAAAAATCAGAACCTATTCTCAAAAAGCTCATAGTCTACATTGGGATGGGGGTGGGAGGGAGACAACATACATTTTGTTTTTATGCAGGCTAAATTGGGGGTGTCTCAGAGGGAAGGCACTAAGATTAAAGAGGACTGTAAAAGGCTTCTTGTAGAAGGCGGGACTTTAGCTGAGACTTGAAGGATGCAGAGAAACCAAGAATTGAAGGGAGGAGGAAGAGTTCCCTGGCTGAATGCCATGCTACACCACTAGTGGCAGAGTAGTGTCTTGTGTCATCAAGGGGGTAGAGCAAAGGACCTGAACCAGCTCAGGGAATTATCTTTTTAAAAAACCGTTATTTCTGCCATTAGAGCTAATCATCAAGAGTTGACACCTTTATCATTTCCATGTACAATAATAATGTTATTTTCCACTGGTGTTCTGTTGCCTTCCTCAAACTGCACTTTCCTGTGTCAGGTACACACCTTGCAGTTACAGAGGGATGGAGGAGAGACTCCCTCACGGCAGTATGTCACGTCTAACTGATCACTCCAGACACAGCAGTTCTCACCGGCTCAACGAGCAATCACGGCATAGCAGCGTGAGAGATCTCACCAATAACCCCATGACTCACATCACCCATGGGACCAGCATGAATCGGGTTATTGAAGAGGATGGAACCAGTGCTTGATTTGGTTTGTTCAGCCGGGTGAACTTGGGCTCTTGTGAAACCTGGATTCCATTTCTTTGCCATTGCATGACTGATTACAGTAACTCAGTATTATCATGCTTTCAGTCAGGTGCTGATTGTGTATGTTGGGAAAGCAAAAGTGTCTCCTGTTTTTTAAAATCATATTTTTACATTGCATTAGAATTGGAATATTGGATGGTCCAACAAATTAGAAATTAAGAAATTCACTCAAAATATAGTTCTGTTCAAGGTTATTAATTACTAATTTATTCAGTCTTTTTTCCCCCAGTAGACACTTTATGGAACTTCTTATTTTATATTTAGAAAATTTTAAATGTGTAATAATTGCCACTTAATCATCCTTTATATAAGAAGAAGCTGATGTTGACACGATATTAAGGTATCCAAGGAAAAAAAACAGCAGATTCTGATGTTAAAGGAATTTTGTGTCAGATAAATAACTTTGTTTCCACTAAGTAAAGAAGGCTTTCATATTAAGAGCTATACCTAGAATTTCAGAAACCATCAATTGTGTTTTAACAAATGCTGCAGAAATACAGTACGAAAATCTGACTAGTCTATTAGAGACCGTTTGCAAATTCTATTTTAAAAAATAGTAACTCCAGAGATTACATACTAGGATTAGCTTTAGAGGAGAAGAAGGTAAGGGATTCCCCTCCCCTACCCTCCCCACATAATTTTGTCATTCTCACTGTTATCAAGTATAACTTGTGCTCATTTCTAGCTTGTTTACTTGCATGGCATAGAAACTTCAATTTGTATGCAGCTAATCACTTATAATATTGTAGATTTTAAAGAAAATCCATACTCAGATCAATTCCATCGAGGTATGTATGAGGATAAGGAGACAAGAATTTATAGTGGCCATAATCTCAAAATACCTTCTCTTTTTTCAATGGTGAAGCATTTTCCCATAATGAAACTTTGTCTCTGCCCTGTTTTCTGATCAGTAAAACAGCTAAAGTGTTGAAGAAGAGATAGGATGCTCACAAAATACCAAACCTGACTTTGGCGTCTGGGCCCCTCTGCTTGTCTTCTGGCAGACTGTCTGCACTCACTTGCCTTGCCTGAAGAGAGTCCAAACTCTCCACTGACACCCTTGTTTCCAGTTACTGAGTATTGAGTGTAATTCAACAAACAGTTTATGAAGTGCCTACTATTTTCACTCCAGGTAGTGTGTTTAGGCACTGGACATGTGAAGACAAAAATGAAACCACCCATCTCCTCAAGGAATTTCCATTCCATTAGTAATTCTCATTTCCATCTAAAATATTTCCGAAATTGCTGGAATCCAAAGGAATAGTTAGTTTTAGGTGTGTGGAATATAAATAGAAGCTAAATGAAACATAGCTGTGCTCGTAACAAAGTACCTCTTCCTCCTCAAAATATTAATTCAAAAGTGTTGGTGATTCTTTGTCTTGTAAGTCACTGTCAACATTAGATTGTGATCCTTTTTAGGCATGTAAAATTGGTCTGGAATTAATGAAATTATTAGAAAATACCAAATTGTTATCTGCATAGTTGGAACATTTGAATTTTCTTGTCCCTAATGTTGGTTTGATGGCACCTAGTAACCAAAAACAAGAGCTAAATTTCAACGGCATATTTATGTGTGCTTCATAGTCCAGATGCATTGTTTGCCTCTTTAAAACATGTGTACCATTAAGAACTTTAAGGCATGCAGAAGTGCCATGATAGCCTGCTGACTAACAAGTGTTTATCTTGCTGCTTCTTGCTGCCTCCTTTTTAAAACAAAATGTAATTTTTTATAAGACACTGTACTTAACACTATATATAGTATGCTGCAAAATAACAACTCCATTTGTTCTGTTGTTTTTATCCGACAAGTGAACAACTAAATATTTCTTTTTCAAGTACATATATATATATATATATATATATATAAACTAATGCTTTAAAATTAGTTTTGAGTGGTTTTAATGGAAATGCCCTAATGCCATTATTTCAGTAAGATATAATTCAAAAATTAGTGCAAGAGACTCGAGACTTATGGTAAGTCTAAAAATCATTTAAAAATTATTATTTTCAAGTTATACATAATGATGAGATTCCTCATGGCATTAATGAACATTTACCAACTCAAGCCATTCAAACTTTCATCCTAACAATCCAGGGTCTTATTTCAAAGAATTTTGAAGGATCTAAAATGTTAAAGTATATGAAGTCACTGTTTTAGAAGAATTATATCTACAAAATAATGAAAACCATGTAAATTGACTTGGATGAAGTCTCTTTCTCTTGGACCACTTAAATTCAGCACATTTATTAAGCACCTATTATATGCAAGGCATTCTGCTATATTACCAGTTTTAAGAATGTGTCCCAAATTCTTATAATGAATTCAGAAAACAAATCAGAATTGTTCTCTAAAATGAATAATTTGTTTTCTATTTGGTCTCTTGAGTGACATAAGGTCTTATAGATCATTTAGGTGAATACTGTCAAACTTTCAGTGGTAGTGATTTTTTTTTCCTCCTTAAGAAATTAAAATCATTTTATAAAAGTTTCAGTTGTCACGCAGCAGTAGAAAAGCTAATTACATTTGTACCTACCTCATTATTTGCTTTGTGGCATAGCTGGAAAGCACACAATTTGAATCATCAATCATTTTAATACAGGTCAAATCCCATTATAGTGTAATTCAAGGAACTATCTTGATTTTTAAAAAAATATCCTACTGGTTGAAACTTTGGAAATATTTGGGGGATAGGAGAGAAGTATAGATACATTTAATTATGATGGGATTTGACCTATATAATGCAATGGCAGAGTTCTGCTTACACATAGTCATGTTAAGATGACAAAATCTTAGGGATCTGGGGAACAAAGATGTTAGCTTCAGAAGCTTCCCTCAACCCCAACACTTTTTAAAAAAGCAAAAACTGAGTGATTTGACCAGTATTCCTATAGTATAACCTACAAACCAATAATCCACATTAACTTTTCAAATTAAAAATTTCTTCAGGAACCATTGTATTCATAAAATTGATTTGGTCTTTAGGTTATGTTTATGTGCCAACTCTCCAAAAAAGCAATTCAATGAAATAAGTTTGAACATTAATTTTTGGGATCTTTACTACATTATTCATTCACTATGTCATTGTGTAATCATAGTACAAGTGAATTTATGATATAAAGGAGAGAGAGTGGACCCTATAATTTCTATGGATTGTCTTGTGTTCAAGATTAGTCTCTGCCTAATTTTTGGAAAGTATTTGCTAAAAGCTATGTGACTTTCATCGTGGCAGACTTGCATTTCAGGTCATCACTCTATGGGAAATATGCGTGTATGTATATGTGTATGTGTATATATATATATATATATATATATATATATATATATATATATGTGTGTGTGTGTGTGTGTATATATATATATATATATATGTATATATATATATGTACATTTTTTTAAAAAATCTATGTAAAGTAAGGATTGTATTCCCCTTTCCCCTTCATCCCACAAAACAAAGGATGGCATTTTGTACAATATAGATTTACAAAAAGGAATCATGGTTTCTCTAATGCATTTTTACAGCTGATTGAAATAAGGAAGTGTTTACATTTAACTCAGCTACATTTATTGGTAGCTTTAAGGTTTTTATACATAATTTATGCATTATGTTTTAATCTATTTTTATGACAGAACCTAATTTAATATTTCCCCCATCTTTCCTTGTATCAGTCAGGTGAACTTTAGATCTGGGAAGGAAGTATGAAAAATAAACATACAGGGTTTTTCTATTCATCTGGCTGTGATTCAAGTATCAGAACTTAGTCTCTCTTTATCTTTCTAATTTTAATTCTAATCCTCATAACTAACAACTAAAGAAACATTATTATGATTTTTCTTTCAAGAATGAAAATATACTGTCCTGTAGGAAGGAAATTATTGAACACCTATTTAAAACCATCTATCTGCATAAAAACTCCCATTCAATAAGTCTTAAAAATACCTAAGTAAAATAATTAATTAATTAAACAATTTGTTATATGCATGTTGATTTTCTTTTAGGTGAAATGGAATTCAGTGAAAAGGAACTTTTTATTGTCTTACAGAGATTACAGATAGAAAAGTTTCCTTTAGTCTATTCCTTTCTTAGTAGACAATTATTCCATATAAAACATCTGGTCAGGATTCTATTTAAATGTGTAACATCTCCTTATTCCCTCAGAGAATTATTTTATGATAATAGCTAAATTCAGTAAATGGTATTATGTCTTCCTTGACACATTAATTTTTCCATAATACATGTTTAGCATGATAATCTTATTTCATATATTAATCTCTCCATTTTTTTACATTTATTTCATCACTGATGTCAGTCAGATTTGCTTTTTATTGTGAGACATCAGTTTTCTATTTTTCTTACTAATTACAATTAGTAAAAATACTTATAAAACTGTATTCATTTGTTTCATTTTATAGTTCATCATTTTATTTTTAGAATTAAGCAGATCACCATTTCTTAACCTATCCTCCTTATATCACAGGATACATGTCTTAGTTGATTTGTATGTACTAATTTTCCAAATATTTATTTCACTGATGTTTTCCTGTGTTTTCGAACTTTGTTACTTCATAATTGGTCTTATTTAATAAGTTGAGACATTTTTATTTTAACTTTCCTGCTAAGACCATGTCTGTAGTAGAAAGGGCAATGGACAGCAAGTCAGGAGAACTGAGTTCTAGTTCTATTTTTTTGATAGCTCTTCAGATTTTTTTGAGGCTGTGCACTTAACAAAAGGAAGCTTTGGACTAGATGATCTCTAAGCTCCCTTCCAGTTCCAAAAGTCAGTAATTCTGTCTTGGTCATTTTACATTTGTCATTCTGAAATCTAATCTTTTTCCTCTTCTTGAATTATAGTGTCAACTCCTGCTTTTTTCAGGATTCCACTGTTATAAGCTTTGCCTCATTCTTCAGAATAGTTTTTAAAAGATTTGAAAAAGATGAAAATAATAGAAAAGTTTAAAAAAAATCTATAGATTGTTTTGTGGAGTAAAAGATTCCTTCCTCTACTGTAACAATCCTACTTTTGTCTTTGCAGCCAAATTGATTTTTCTTAAGGATACATTTTTCTTAAGATTTACTCTTTTGTTTGAAACTTTCTCTATTCAGCCTTAGTTCTTTTAGGTACAGCCGCAATAATTTTATAAATTTTATAAGTCATATAAAATAATGAAAAGCGAATTGGACAACCCTAGAAAATAGAAATGAATTAATCCTTCCTAAGTATTTGCAGCCATTTTATTGAAAACTGAAAGTTGTCGAGATTGCCACAATAGCTAATGTAAAAGTAAGCAGTTAACCAAACCTAACCCTATTCTGTTTCACAGAATTAAAACCATCAGTCTCAAGAGTCAGAATTGGCATGCTTATTATGATTGACTTGCATTAAGCTATATACTTGAGGCAGCAATGATGCCAAATTGTCCATATGGCTAATTAAGAAACTTTCATCAACATTGAAACAGTGGGAGGGATAGCAAGTTTGATTCTGTCTAGTTGTTTCTCTGTTAACCATGGAATTGAATATCAATTAAAAATGTAAGATGCACTTAGCAAAAACCACTATTGTCATATTGCCAGTGAAAATGGAAATTGCATGAGGTTCACTGTTTTCTGATTTGTTCTTACAATGTGACAGATTTCCCTTTCTCCTCCCGTGCATGCCAATTTTAAAAAGAGAGGTAGATGTTTTTCCCTTCATACTTTTCCTTTAGCAGATAATTTGGTTTGAAATTACTTCTATATTTTGAGACCAGACCATAATAGTACCACATTTTAGTATGCTTATGTGCTGAAATGAATACTTGAAAATAACTTATTTTTCCTTTTTTTCTATGGAAATGAAAATAATTTTCAAAAATTCTGTAAGAAATTCTTTTTGAGAGTATTAGTGTGAAATTTCTCTTTTTGCTAGGTGCTATTCACCTGAGCTAGAAGATATAAGAACAAAAACTTTTACTTTTTCACTGCCATTTTATTATTTTTAACTGTCTAATAATTTATTTCTGAATAAAATCATTTTCAGGCAGTTTTCATTTTCAGTTCTGAGAAACAACATATGTTTGCTTTTGTCTTCAAACTTTAAAGGTTATTTTTAAAATAACTTTGACTATAAGATCCTGAAAGTTTAGCATAGGTAAAAGAATGTCTTAGATTTTAGGAACTTATTTTGGAACTTTAGAGATAGCTGTTGATTTTCATTGCAATTGCCCTTCAAAGAAAATGATCCCATGGCATTCAAAAGCTGTCTAATTGCCTTACCTTTGGACTTTGGAGATAAGGGTTGTAGTCAGTGGATTTGGGGGAATTTTTATATTAATATATGTTATGTAATTAATAATGGTTACTAGTAACTCAGCATTCCCAATACCCCAGATTTCCATATGTTGCGTTGTTCTGAGTCTTTTTCTTTTTCAAATAATGTTTTATTTTTTTAGACCAGGTTTTATATATGTAGTGGGAAGGAAACCAAGAATGGAAAAAACCTTTCATTTAACACACACACACACACACACACACACACACACACACACACACACACACACACACACAAAACCTTACAGAAATAAATGGATCAAGAGGCATCTTGGTGTAGTACTAAAAGCACTCTGGGGATCTGCTACATACCATGTGTATGATCTTGGTGAAGTCCCTTCACTTGCCTTCACCTTAGTTTCCTCAGTCCTAAATTGTGTTAACATCTGTATATGCCCTTTCCCCTCACTCACAGTTCTTCAAATCAAACCTTCCAGAGGTTGTGCCCTGGAAGACAAATGCAACTGTAGGTCACCACAGCACCCTACCAGGAGGGCAAAGATGCTCCCTAATTTATTGGTAACATAGTTTTAAACATCTGTAA